TCACTATAAATCCAAGCTGCACGGTGAGACCCTGTACCAAATAAATAAAATATTTTTTAAAAATTAAAGTAAAAAAGCCCCCAAAATTCAAAGACCAAATCAAATAAATGACAATCTGAGATGAATATATACTTCTCAGATAAAAAACTACAAGTGGAAAATAAATATATGAAAAAATGTTTAACATCACTCATCATTTGTGAAATGCAAACTAAAACAAGGCTGAGATTCTATCTTACTCCAGAAAGAATGGCTATCATCCAGAACTCAACCAAAAAGAAACTTTTCTCTCCTGTTGGTGGGAATGCAGACCAGTACAATCAGTGTGGAGATTCCTCAAAAAACTAGGATTAGAGGTCCCATTGGACCCAACTATTCCCATCCTGGACATTTTTCCAGGAGAACTGAAAACATCAACCGCAGTGATATATGTACACCCATGTTTATGACAGCACAATTTGTCATAGCTGTATCTTGGAAGCAACCCACGTGCCCATCAACTGAAGAATGGATAAAAAAGATGTGGTAGGGGCTGGGGAGATGGCTCAGAATAAGCGCTTCCCTCGCAAGTGCCAGGGCCTGAGTTCAAGCCCCAGTCCCGCGCCCCCCCCCCCAGAAAAAAAGATGTGGTATTTTCATACAATGGAGATTTACTCAGCTATAAAGGAAGATAAACTCAAATCTTTTACAGACAAATAAATGCAAGTAGGGATAAGGGAGATAGCTCAGTAGAATAAACACTTGCCTGGCAAGCACAAGGGCCTGAGTTCAATCCCTGGTTCTGGGGGGAAAAAAATAGATGCAAGTAGAAGTCATACTCATAAATGAACTAAATCACACCACTATGTGTAAATATCATATTGTCTCCCTGTTATAAGAACTTGAAAGAGTAACAAACTCTGAAAGGTACAGTAGATATTATGAAAGGGAAAGAAACTGCTCAAAAGGAAAGAACTGGGATGGGGGAAAGGAGAAAAGGAAGGATAGAAAAAAAAAATATATATATATACACACACAAGATAGCTAAGATAATTGTACTACTAAATTTCTATTGGTTTATTTAAAGGAACAGATAATGCCTTAACAAATTTTTTATGCCTAATTTTGCATGGTAATCCAGATAATTATTTTGAAGATAATATGGGATATAAAAACCATTGTTAATTTCCTATCATCTTGTTTTGAAATTTTGTATCATTTTAAAAAATTTTTCCATTTTTGATTTTCTTTAGAATAAAAAAAATGCAAAAAAGCATGGGGGGGATAAATGTCAGTCATTTGTAGGAAAATGGATGAGCTCATAAGGCTAGGTGAAATAGATCAGACACAGAAGGTTAAGTATTGCATGGTTTGTCTTTTTTCTTTCTTTTCTTTCTTTATCTGGTACAGTGTCTTCCTACACAGCTCAGACTTGTAGTGATCCTCCTGTCTCAGCCTCCCCAGTCCTGGGATTACAGGCATGCACCACCACACCCAGTTTCTGTGGCAAGACACTTAACTTTTTATGAATGAACTAGAAGACCTGTTTTCTTTCATTAATTCACTCATTCATTCATTCATTAAGCAGTTTGTTCAAAAGTAATTTATTGTGTGCCACCATATACCAGCTGGAGTTCTATTAGTACAAGTTTGTAATATATGAGTACATTCATTGTGGAAAGTTGGTACATGTGCATATTTCGTCTTGATCCTTTTTATTCCCCCCTTCCTTCCCCTAACTCCCTTCTTCCTCCATCTCTAGGTCCTCCTTCCCATCTGAAAAAGGTCTACCTTTTATTTTGCTCTTTATTTATACTGTGAGTTTCTCATATCAGACAAACCATGCAAGGGGCTGGGGAGATAGCTCAATGGCCTAAGTACCTGCCCCAGTTTAAAAAAAAAAAGACCAAAAAAGGAACACCATCCATGATTTGGAGGCAGATTATTTAACATCAAATGGGCACTAAGAATCAGCTGTTCCTAAAAGTGTCAGGCCTTGAAGGCATAGGGAAGGAGGCTTTTATAGGGCTACCAAGGGGCTGGGTACAGAGGTAGAGTGCTTGGCTGTCCTCAACTGGTTCTTACTATGTGCATTACGGAGAACAGCCATTTCTAAGAGACAGAAGCACAGGAACTATCACCTGAGCAACTGGCGGATATTGGCTGTGGGGGGGCACTTTCCGCTACACTACTATACAGCAATTTGACTCCAGGTCAATTATAACCTAACTTAATAGACTTGTGGATGGATTGATAAAGGAATTCAGCAGAGGGCCTTCCACTGAGCTATATCCCCAGCCCTCTTCTTTGATTTTTGAGACAGGGTCTCACTAAATTGCCCAGCCTAGCGTTGAATGCCTGCCTCAGCTTCCAGAATAGCTAGGATTACAGACATCCACTACTAGCCAGGTGTGGTGGTGCATGCCTGTAATCCTAGCACTTGGGAGGCCGAGGCTAGAATTCAAGGCCAGCCTGGACTACATAGTGAGTTCAAAACCAGCCTGAACTACAAAACAAGACCCTGTCTCACAAACAAAATAAAACAAAAACTCCCCACACAAAGCCCAAACATTTACTACTGCCCTATGTTCAGCCTTATTATTATTATTCTTAGCATTATTTTGGCTTGTTGAGACAGTCTTGCTAATGTAGACTGGGCTGGCCTCGAACTTGTAAGATTCCTCCTGCTTCAGTCTCCCAAAGTGCTGTGATTACAGG